GACACTGCGTGATACCGCGACACGCCCACCGGGGTATGCCGCGAAATACCTCACCCATTTTGAATGGCTGCATCTGTATGAACAGCTTAACAGTATTTGTCGTTGTGACTGTTCTGGTTCCGTGCGGGCTCGGGCCCTCGCCACTCCACCCCACCAGTTTGTCCCACAACACCTGGGGCACAAACCCGGGTCTCTGGCGTAACACAACAAGAAGCCAGCCGCATGAGCTAAAGGAGACCTCCCTCAGCCCAGGCGGCTGAGATCCCTGCTATGCGCAGCGAGGGCAATGACGTCACTATGTCCAAAATACCTCCGCTACATCATAACAAGTTATTTATCATTTGTATATTATGTTATTTTCCCAAGATGTCCAAAAACAAACAAACATTTAAAAAAAAATCATAATTATATTATCAACATATTTTGATGATTTCTTCCGAAACAGAGAAAATCAATAAAGTAACAATACTGCCACAGAAGAGCTATGGAGCACATAATAAAACTTGCAACATGACCTTGACCTGTCAGGTGACAGGGGGCAGCCATGTTTCTTTTCGTTGGCTGAAAGGTGGGCGTGACATTCCTGGGACTCCCAGTGGTGCTGTTCTAGAGCACATAGCTCATCCTGGTGATGGTGAAGTTCACTACACCTGTACAGCCTTCAATGCCATCAGCAACCAGTCAGCTACTAGTCACATTAAGTGCTACACACAAGGTAAGCTGTTAGATGGGTCATTTGGAGATTATGGTTTTATGCTATGTATGTTATTAAATGTGTCAAACTATTTTTTTCCTGTTTCAATACACAGAAGAAACAAAGGTAGAAAAGGATATACCCAACATACATAAAATAATCATAATTGCTGCCGCAGCTGGAGGTGGAGCTCTTGGATTGATTCTTCTTGTTATTTTGATTTGTTGTTGCTTGAAAAAGAAGAACAAAAAAGGTAAGTGTACTTAATGCAAAACAGTTAAATTCAGAATTGTTTATAATAATCTAGAGTCAGAATAATCCATTGCAGTATCTGTCGTAAAAAAGCATAAATAATAAATGTATGAATATATAAAAGTATCAGTATCATTATCACTATAATCACATAAAAAATAATAAAAAAATTGAGCTTTTCCCTAAAGTGGAGCTACCACTCCCCAGAAAAGAAAACCAGCCATTGTTATGTTCCTCATGAAAATCAAATAGATTTTTTACAAGTTCAGTCAGCGAAGTTCAGTTATTAAGTTTCACCCATTTGTTTTCATAGAAAGGGAAGAAACGGCCCCCACATTGTATGCTGAAATCGAAAGAGTGAACACAATAAAGAAGGTCAGTAAAGCAAAAGAGCATTATAGTAATCCTGAAAAATAGATTGCACGTTACAACCAATTTTAAGACAATGTTGAAAGAATTCCGGTAACTGCAGATTCAATGGTAATAATACATTATCATACCTGGTTGACAGAATGTAATGTAAAATGATATGGTTTTGCAGTTTTGCCTCGCATACTGTATAATATACTGTATTTACATATCACAACACCTTGGATTTATTGTGTAAATGTAAAGTAAACCCATGTGACATCAAACAGCCAGTTGCAACAGTGTGTTTATAATGTGTTTCTATTATCTTCTGTAACAGTTCTAGACTGTTGCATTGTTCTGAGGTATAATGTCAAACTCAAAATCTTCATAATGCAACATTTATTTTTGGTTTTACAGGCAGATTCTAACACACAAAACAACGATCTTATTACTTGTTATGATGTTATTAAGGATAGAAAGGTACGTAATGTTAAGCTGTGATCATATCCCTGATTCCTTCTCATTTCAAAGAAACAACAATAAATATCACCAGCCAGGCATGTAAGGACTGAGTCTTTATGCCATGACTGTTGATTGGCCAGAAGAGTGAGATGCTCTACCAGTGCCTGATCACTTGAGTGGATACAGAACAATAACCCTCCTTCTCTCTCTCTTTTGCTCCACTCACAAATCTGTATGACACTGAGATGCCTATCTCTTCAAGGACGCATGTACACTATTTAATTTTTCAGTTCAATCCAGTTTTATTTGTACAGCACTTTTTACAATGGACATGGTCACAAAACAGCTTTACAGATTTCTGAGCCTGAACCCCCAGTGAGCAAGGAAGAAATCCCTCAGATTATCGTAGGTAGAAACCTTGAGAGGAACCAAGGCTCAAAAGGGGGAGCCTATCCTCCTCTTGCCAGCACCGGGTTAAATTAAAATATACAGATATGAAAGTTGTCTATATTGTATAACATGGTGGGAATAGCACACTTGAATTTTTAGCTCTGTCATGTATGGTGATGTCCAATTTAATTGGAAGCTGACTCTTTAACAGACTGATCCAGACACTCTTGTAGAGAATACAGACAATACCACAAATAGCTGATATAATTAGAGCCACCTGAGTTCTTTGTTCCCTGACACAGCTTTGGCAAAAGAGCAATAAATAAAAAATGCCAAGTTAAACAAATATTTATTAACTACACAGTAACACACGAAACAACACAACATCCAACATAACACATACTCCATTTACAAAAGAAGACATCTCACCAGCCTACATCCTGACCAAACAGAAAATCCCTAGACCACAACCAAGTATTCAAAAATCCTATATAATATCTACACAGGCCAACAAGAGAGATAAACCTGCCTTGTAAACCAAACGGACCGATTTCCAAAAAAAAACTGAATGACAAGCTCTCTTAACAAGATTCAAATACTTAACTAGAATATGTGTCTAAGTTTGATCCAAAACAGAATTGTCTCACCTGGCATTCCTTTCTTTCTGTTTCTCTTTGAGTCTTTCTGTCTGTCCCTTGTCCTGCCTTTTGTCTGCTCTCCCTGTCCCCTTCTCTACCTGTCTTACAGTATATCCTGTTTTCCTGAACTGTTGGTGACTCTTAATGATTTGCCCAGATTTTAATTAACCAAAGTAAATCAGATGATTTTTTGACCAATGTATTGTACAGTATCTCAGACACCAACAACTCAGCAAAAACCTCAGTTCCTTCCTTGTTTTGAAGCTCCCAGAACTGTTGACACTAGCTGGAAATTATCCTTTGTCTTTAGATGCTTAGACTCCTCAACAGCCACTTTCAATAGCTGTAACACTAACACTTCTTTAAAAAAGATAAATATTTCTGAGGGACTTTGGTTAGACCATCCACACCATTTTCATTTGCTTGTGCATGAAATAAAAAAAAGAATCAAAGTTTCCTCCAGTTCTTTTGCAACTGAGTTTGCTCTTCTTCTTGTTTGTACCCGATTCATTTTCTCTGTACTATTTCTCTTTACTTTTCTCTTTTTTTGTGTGTGCTGATTCCAGGGTAGAAATGTATTTGAACATGGTGACCTTAATCAGTGTATTATACTGTCAAATTTTAACATGCCCAAAATTAAAATCTACAATTACCTGTGCATTCTAATACATAAGTATACATATTTATATCTCATTTATGTTTTTTATGTTTTTTTTTCAAGTGTGGTGCACCCAGCCAGACTCTGTATGATACAGTGAACTTTAATCGTAAGGAGACCTCACAGTACCAAGAAGTCCTCTAAATGTACAATGTGAACTACAGGGATTTTTTAATTTTTTTTAACAAAAATATAGGTTGTAAATAGACCTGGTGTAAATCAGAGTACAGTACTTAATACAGCACTGTATTAAGATGTCTGCTTGCAATAATAAAGATATTTGCACCCTCACACCAAACCTGGGTTACTCAGCCAATAGTTTCCTGGAACTCCACATGTGGTGGTTCAGAATAGCAGAATGCTCCATCTGTTGTTGGGATTAGTTTGCCAGCATTTTATTGACACTCCAAAATCAGAGACTACTGCAATTTCCTGGGTGCCTACAAGTTTGTGGTTTTGATGGAGAAGAACCATTCTTGTTCAAAGTTACAGTAATTGTCTCAATGGGATGACGATTAGAGAAGCTTACCATTCTCACATGAGTCATTGCTGTAAAGAGATGTAAAAAACAGTTTAAGTATTAAATTAAAAATTGATGTGTTTAATCTTGAGTGCTTGCTATGACATGTTTTCTCACAATATGTTTCTACATAGCATTTAAACATGCATGTATATTTATTTAAATTTTTGTTTTCTATCCAATAGTGTAAGTCTTTTTTCTTTAATTTCCTTCAATGTTTAATTAAATTTTCCATTGAAATATTTCATTAAAGCTGAGATATTTAAAATAAAACAAGTGAAACAATTACCACACAAGGCAAAGAATGAAAAGAGTGTTATTAGAAAATGCTTCTACATTATTTAGAGGAAATTAATGAATGTTTTTATTTCCTGTCATGACATTACTGCATTCAAACAAAATGTTACTCCATTCATTATATTGAAATTTCTGAAAAGGAAACACCAACAATATATAAAATATAAAATTGAAAGTAAGGAAAAAGAAACATTCACTTTAATCAGTTTGAGTCAGTATCTTATTATTTAATCAATTATACTGTATACTTAAAGCAATGAAAGAGGGCAGCTGATCCTGGAGTGTCAGTTACAGGGTTAAGACACAAGAGGGTGTTGCCCTTTTACTGTACATGCAGTTTATTTTAAGACAAACCCCCAAAATGCTGTATTAAACAATGTTTATTAATTTCTAAATGTAATACTTTGTAAACTGACAATAATTATTGTAATAACTTTCAAGCACGTAATGTCCATCCTGAGTTTGTTTGGAGTGCCAGAAGTGACTCAATGTATATAAAATAAACATACACATGTTAAAATTAGTACAATTCTGTGGAATTTTAAAGATAGTTTATTATGATTTTGTAAAGCACACCCTTTTTATCAGAACACAATTTTTCTGTCTCCAATGGGGTCTTCAGTGACATTCCCTTTAATTTCCAATGATAAATCTCAGTTGTTTGATCAAATTCTAATAATAATAACAGCTTGGGTGACAGAGAAGAGTAATCACTTTGAACTTCAAAGGAGAGAGGATGTTTGCTGAAGTCTGGAGGGTCCCTTGAGCAGAAACTATTGTAAGGTTATCTATAGTATACCTAGGTAAGTTGTGGATTAATGATTGGCAAGGAGCAGCACAAACACACACAATATAAGATCACATTAAGAGAACAGAAGAGGGAGAAACAAGAAGCAAGCAACAAGCCGAGAAGAGAGAGAAGTTTGGAGGAGTTGGGACTTGAAGCTTGCGCCAGCTGAGAGCCCCTACTGCATGGTCATCCAAACCAAACCTTGACTGGAGCTAAGTATTGGAACCATGATAGAGACACCATGCTATTCTGTGTTTTAGGGAACTTGGGTTTCCTGAGTAAAAGACACCAAAGTTAGAAACATCTTTCCTGCTTAGAGTGTATATTTATACATACAGTACATACATACATATATATATAGGCTCGAAGGTGCAGAGAAAGAGATTTAACTGCAGGTTGCATTGTATTTAGTTCGAAGGCAGCTTATCTCTTATGTGGCCCCTGTAGTCATTAAGAGCTCTTTACAGTCAGAGTCACACTTCACCTGTGGAAACTGCAAAAAGGCCTGTCACTCCCGACTTGGACTGTACAGTCATAGTAGGTGATGTAAATCTAAACACTGACTAACCACGGCACAAAACTCCATTGTCTCCCAAGACAGATGGATGCCAGAGACAGAGACAGCAGTCTGGGGTTTTCTGGGCGGTTAGAATATTAGACCTCTGAAATGCCTTGTTTGTAAATGCTGTACTGCACATAAAGTAGGTTGAGTGTTGTATGTTTTATTGTGAGTAGTGTAGATTGTATCTTGTGTCATTGTAAATAAATATTTCTTTTAACCAAGAATTATTACTCCCTTCAACAAAGCTGTACCAGAGAACAAGAAATTCACGTGCCTCTAATTATACCAGCCGCTCAGGTATATTGCAAGAAAATACTTAATAAGTGGAGGTTATAAATAAATATTTAACTTATTGACTAAACTGCTTGGTCAAATCCTGATTTTCACGGGTTTTGTAACCCCCATTTGTAACAACAACAACAGCAACAACAACAACAAAAATAATAATAATAGCAATAATAATAAATTGGTAATATGGCTGAATGAGCAAACAAATGTAAAGGGCTAGTCTGCTTAGCAGTTTGGATTTAATGTGACAATGACAGTGCTGGTCAGAGATCAGTGCTCACACACACACACACCCAACTTCCTAGAGATAAACCAGGACCAAATGCTGCTATAATTGCTTACACTTATATAGCGCTTTTCTGGACACTCCACTCAGGCCAAATAGGTTCAACTAGGTGAGAGTCTTTCCACGCTCATTAGTGGGATTCATGTAGGATCCAAGTCAAGTCTTCTTTGGGACTGGCAATTTACTGGGGAGATAGGCATCTCTATTGGCATGATCTCAATCTTAACTCGACACCTACTTAGGAATTTAGCATAGTAGGTACAGATTTTCATACCAGGCTAAGGCAATAAAGTATATTATTCTGCTGTACCATTGACTGGTTCATATCACCAGGTTTCATGTTTTTAAAACATTAAACATCTTACACAACTTACACTGAACTCCAAGACAGGTGATGTTTACAGTTATAAGCCTCTTTCTTGTGTGGCTCTTTAAACAATCATTTAATAATAATAATAATAATAATTGCTTACACTTACATAGCGCTTTTCTGGACACTCCACTCATAGCGCTTTACAGGTAATGGGGACTCCCCTCCAATGTGCAGCATCCACCTGGATGATGCGACAGCAGCCATAGTGCACCAGAACGCTCACCACACACCAGCTATCAGTGGGGAGGAAAGCAGAGTAATGAAGCCAATTCATAGAGGGGGATTATTAGGAGGCCATGATTGGTAAGGGCCAATGGGAAATTTGGCCAGGATGCTGGGGTTACACCCCTACTCTTTTCGAGAAACGCCCTGGGATTTTGGTGTGGTGCAGTTGGAGTGGAGGGAGGGGAGCTAGAAAAGAGGGGCTTATGCAGGAAACAAAAGTGCAATATTAGAATTTGATCAATTATTATCCCCTAGGGGAAAATTTATATGGACAAACAGCAGTTTTGTACATCACAATACCGCACAAATCAATACATATCACATCTATTACACATACATAACTCACTCAACATACAGTCATGACTTATTACATTATTACATATACATACGTAGTTTGTCATGGCGTGATCGGTTTACAGTGACCCAATTACATTTACCTTTGCCATTCACACTTTGTTTGCCATTTAACTGCTGTAATGGATATGTGGTTTAATAGATATGGGAACAAATTAATATTTGTGTCTATACAATCTACATTTCGGAACACCTCAAATGTTTTCCAGACGGTAAAAGTTGACATTCAGAATTAAGAATATGGAAAGGATCTGATGCAAATTTTTCCATGTGTAATCATGGATTGTTAAAAACGTGTCTGTAAGAAGGAGTGCTGTTGCACTCACATAACCTTCACTGCTGTTTGACCAAGATGGGTGATTGATAAATTATCAAACCACACTGTTATATCATATCAAATAACGCTCTCAATTACAGCCTGGTAAAAGAGAAGCATTATTTCCTGTCCAACTCCAAATTTGTGATTAAGAGGATTAATCTTTGGATTAAGAGAGGAATTTTTAAGCACTGGTGTAATGATTGCCTTTTACTACAGTTTATCAGACTTCTGAAAGATTAGGCACCATACAGTTCTTAATTTCTCAATGCTTAATTTTGGCTTTTTTGCACATATGTGTGATCATCTGTGGTCTGAGTTTTAGCCTGTAAACACTGCTGTCAGATTTAATAGTATAGCATGTAATACGCTACTGCATGCACCAGAAAACTCTTGTGTCTCAAACCACTGATAAAAAGTTTAGGCAGTTCATCTATTGTTTCCTTGAAGAATTCATGTTTGTGACTGATTTCACTGTCTCCCACAACCTCATGAGGATTTCCACTGGAGTGATCTCCACCTATAGTGGATATTGGATATACCAATATTTCTGTTGAAGACCACCATTTCACTTGTTTGGTCAAATTCTTATAATGACAGAACTAGCTGATGAATATGAAGAGATAGTATGCTCAGTAATTTGACTTTAACTGACCTGGAGGAGAAAATGACAGTGGTGGTCGGTGATCAAGGTTGTTACATGCCCGCAAAACACAGATACAGATTTCAAACACCGTGTTTGAGCAGTTGCCAGATATAAGAGTAATGTGTATGTAACAAATGAAAAACATGTATGATTCACTTCTTTGAACTAATGGATTCAGATATGCAGCTGAATCCTGCAGCTGACAAAACACGGGTCTGGGAACAGGTAGCAGCACTAGTAACTAGTAGCACTGTTGCTACCTGTAGCAGCACCAGCCAGTTTTACAGATGCAGCCATTCAAAATGCGCGGGCGATACCGCATTATTTTGCAGTACGCTGTACGCAGTCTACCGTTAAATACCGCGAGTTACCGTAAATTCTCCTATAATACGCCAAGCAAAATAATAGTATCCGGAATTTCCGCAAGGTGGAGCTAATAA